CATGTAAACTATCATATAATTCACAATAAAACACTAAAAAAAAAAAAAAAATCACATGTAAGACCATATGGTCAACAGTTATTCTAAGGCAATAAGTAAGGGTGTAGAGAAACTAGATTCCTGGAAATGGAATGAAATGTTGTTAGCATAACATTGTGAAAAATGTGACCAGTGTCATTGAACAGTTTGTGTAGAAATTGCATAATGGGAACATAATTTGCTGTGAAAACACAATAAAAGATTATTTTAAGAAAACAATAACATTAGGCCAATTCACTGAATGGGCCCATGAGACTGCCACACCAAACCCTTTAACTAAGGAAGCAAATCCCATGAAATATTTTTGTAGTAAACTGTTATCAATACTGCAGCTTTTTTTTATGCTGCTATTTTTGCATAAAATTAAATGTAGTGTTTTGTTTATCATTTTGCCTTTTAGAAATATTTCTAGTGTATAACTTAGTGATATCTTTGCAATTGTCAAGTTATATAACCATTATATTTGTTACTGTTGTTGCTGCTAAGTGCCATCGAGTTGGTTTCAATTTATAGCAACTCTGTGTAGGGTTTCCAAGGAGTAACTGGTGGGTTTCAGTCTCCAACCTTGTGATTAGCAGTTCAGTGTTTTTTCTAACAGCATCACATCGGCACTCCACTATTACATTTACTTAATGCCAATGTATTCCTATCACCGTAGACAAGTGTTCAGTATTTCTCATAGAATGATAACCCCTCCTCCAACTCCCTCCAATTTCTGATAACTGCTAGTAACCATTGGTTTTTATATACTTTACCTATCCTTGTTAATGATAACTTGACCAGTGATATAAGTATATTTGGAAGGATTTCTGGTGGCGCTGTAGGATAAGCACTGAACTGCCAACCATAGGGTCATTAATGCAACTCTACCAGCCACTCTGAGGGAGAAAGATGAAGCTTTCTGCTCCTGTAAACACTTATAGCCTTGTAAACACTATACAGGGTCAGAAGTGACTCAATAACAGTGGGGTAAATATATTAGGAAGTTTATGTTGAGGTCTTACAAACTATATTCCAGTAAATTTTGCTTATTATGATGTAATCTGTTGTTGTAAAGTGCTGTTGAGTCAGATCCAACTCACAATGACCCTGTATAGGGTTTCCGAGGAACGACTGTGGATTTGAACCAAAGACCTTGCAGTTCAAACCAACCATGTGGTCCAGTGCATTATCCCACAGTGCTACATGAGAACTCCATGTTGTAAATCGGAGGTATTTTTTGTAGCACTCTGCCAAACTTTTTTTAAAAAACCTCTTATTGTGCTTTGGGTGAAAGTTTGCAGAGCAAATTAGCTTTCCATACAATAATTTGCATATATTATATTTCATGACATTATTTGCAATTAACTCATTGTGGCATTATTTTATGGCTTCTAGTAAAAAAAAAAAAAAAATTTCCATTTTGATTAGACTTTTTTTCCAAATGAATTCTTAAAAAATTTAAGATACTTAGACTCTCAAATTAATTCTGTTACAGAATTATGTTAACATTTACATTTTTGAAATAGGACATTCTGTTTTTTAGAAATTTTATTGTGGTAAAATGTATTTAACATGGATGAGCCTTGAAAACATGCTGAGTGAAATAAGCCAATTACAAAAGAACTGTATGATTCTTTTTACCATATTTGTACTTAAATTAGACACGTGTTAGGAGTTCTCATATAGCACTGTAGAATACACACTGGACTACTAACTGCCAGGTCAGCGATTCAGACTCATCACCTGCTGCTTGGGAACCCCATACAGAGTTGCTCTGAGTTGGAGCTGACTTTATGACACTTAACAACAACAATTTTTGCAACTTATGCCATTCCCTCATGCATTAGTGTTCTATACATCCTATGTGTATAATATATGTGTACATGTTATGTGTGGGCTTGTTATTTAAAAACAAAACTATAGTATTTGAGGTATCTAGAATAGGCAAATAAATAGAGGCCAAAGTTTATCAGTGGTTACCAAGGGCAGGTGAGTGGAGGAATCAGGAACTTACAGCTTAAGAGACTGAGTATCTGATAAAGGTGATGGAAAAATTTGGAAACACATAGTGATGATGGTTGTACAACATGATGAACATAATGTCACTGAATTGAATATATGGAGAATGGTAAAATAGCAAATAAAATATATATATAACAAAATATTTGCCATTTTAAAGATTTTTCAGTGACTTTCATTATATTCACCATATTGTACAACCATCACCACTCTTAATTCCAAATGCTTTTCATCACTGTAAACAGAAGGTTAATACTCCTTAAGCAAAAACTTCTCATTGTTTCTCCTACTCACCTCTGGTAACCACTAATAAACTTTCTGTCTAAGCACTTGCCTAGTCTGGATGTCCCGTATAAGTGTACAAGTACTTGTATTTTGTCGTTTTGTGTCTGACTTACGTCATTCAGCATGTTTTTAAGGTTTATCCATGTTGTACCATGTATCAAAAATTAACTTCTCTTTATGGCTGAATACTACTCCATTACATTCTTATACCATTATACCACATTTTGTTTATCCATTTATTTATTGATGGACACTTGGGCTGTTTCTACCCTTTGGCTACTGTGACTAATGCTGCTGTGACTATTGATGAACTGCTTGAGACCTAGCTTTCAGAAGATGCTTTTTGGAAGCTGCTTAGGAGTTGAAATGCTAAGATTATATGGTATTTATAGGAGCCCCAGTAGCATAGTGGATTATGAGTTGGGCTGCTAACCAGAGGTCAGCAGTTCAAATCTACCTTCTGCTCTGTGGGAGAAAGATGAAGCTTTAGGAGTCCTGGTGTGGTGCTGTAGGATAAGCATTTGACCACAAGGTCGATTTGAACCACAAGGTAGCTGGTTCAAACTCACTAGCCGCTCATTAGAAACACTATACAGGGTCACTATGAGTTGGGACTGACTCAGCGGCACTTAACAACAGTGGTAATTATGGCATAGAGCTTTAGGATAAGCACTGAACTGTTAGCCACAATATTGTTGATTCAAACCCACCAGCCACTCCTTGGAGATCCTATATAGGATTACTGTGAGTCAGAACTGACTCACTGACACTTAACAGTAACAGTGGTAATTCTGTTTAACCTTTTGAGGGACTGCCAAAATGTTTTCCACAGTAGCTGTACTATTTTACATACCATCAGCCATGGAAAACAGCTATCCTATTGAGTGTGAGAGGAGCACTGTATGATAAGCACTGGACTGCTAACCACAAGGTTGACAGTTCAAATTCACCAGCTGCTCTTCAGCAGAAAAATGAGGCTTTCTGCTCCAGTAAAGATTTACTGCTTTGGAAACCGTGAGTCAGAATCAACTGTATGGCAGTGAGTGAGTATGTGGGTATGAACTGTATCTCATAGTGAAGGAGATTCATTTTGAGATAAGCATGAAAGTGTTCAGAGGTTGTAGTAACTATAGGAGGATAAATAAAAAGTATTGCTATCAGAGTTCCAAGGAGGCCTTGTGGTGCAGTGGACTGATAACTGCAAGGCCAGTGGATCAAACCCACCAGCTTTTCCACAAAAGAAAGGTGAGGCTCTTCTCTCCCAGAAAGATTTTCAGTCTCAGGAACCCTGAAGAGTAATATTACTCTGTCCTATAGGGTCTCCATGAGTTAGAATCAATTTTACAGCAATGGGATTGGTTGACGTACTTACCACATACGGCACTAAGGATTTAGCCCTTTGAATGTCCTGGCTATATGGGGAGAGCAGGGACAGAGAGTACCTCAGTTACACTTCTTGTCCTGTGTAGGCTCATGTCTTCATGCCTATCTCCTTCCTGGTTGATAAAACCCTTGTTGATAAAACCTGGGTTTTATTTAAAAAAAAAACAAAAAACAAAAAAACCTCCCTTAACCAAAGACAGAGCTTTATTACAAGCATTTTTCTTGTTTCCACCTCTCTTTTCAATTTTGCCCTTATGATTTCCCTTACATTTTAATTAATTTATAGACTGTTAGTTACATTGTTTTCAGCATTTCTAGACTTTTGGGTGTTCTTTGTTGAAAAGGTTTTCAAGATACATATTTTGCCATACATCTACCTGTATAGATATGTAGGTGTCCTTGTGTGACACTTTAGTATAAATACTGGATTCCAAGGTTGGTTTGAACTGCAAGGTTTATGGTTCAAACTCACCAGCTGTTGCTTGGAAATCCTACACCGTGTTGATAAGAGTCAGAACCAACTTAACAACATTTAATAGCAACAACAGCATAGCCATGTAGACCTATAGATATATGTATTAAAACACTTTTATGGAAAATATATTTACATTTTTAGGCTTAATAATTTAAAATGTTTAGACCGTAGACTCCTCACAAGGAGTGATATTATATTGTGACTGAATTCTCTTTTGTTTATCAAGGAAATGGGAAGACATGATGACCTCTGGTCCTTATTCTACATGTTGGTGGAATTTGTAGTTGGTCAACTGCCTTGGAGAAAAATAAAGGACAAGGTAATTTTGGAAATGAGATTTTGGTGAGGGAAAGAATAAAGTTTTCTTCTGACAAAGCACTTTTGCTGAGAATCTACTTAAGTGTTAAGAATTAAAATTTACGATCACTTTAACTATATTCCAACACTGCGCTAGACTGAAAAATCGATTTGAACCACAAGGTCAACAGTTCAAGCTCACCAGCTGCTCCTTGGAAACCCTATACAAGCTCGCTGTGGGTCGGAACTGACTCGACGGGTCAGAACAACAATTAATGTTAGGGGTCCTGGTGTGATACCATATGATTTCAAAGTCAGCAGTTCAAAAACCAACCAGCCACTCCTCAAAAACCCTAAACAGGATTGCTATGAGTCAAAACTGACTCAACCTCAGTTACCAATAACAGCAATTAATGTTATAACTATTCTATGTACATGGAGAATTATACTATTTTAATTACATTCATCACCTCTGATTTGATTTCTACTACCCCGTCTTACTGGTGTGGCTTTCTAGGATCATCACTGGATTGTGAACCACAAGGTCAGCAGTTCAAAACCATCAGCAGTTTCTTGGAAACCCCATACAAGATCACTATGAGTTGGAACCGACTTGACAGCAATTCACAAAACAACAACTCCCTCTCAACCTTTATTTTTACTAGGTCTCTGGTTTTTTATTTATTTTTGTTTTTTAGTTATAAGTCAAGTAAGCTTTTAGCTTTACATTGCTACATAATAGTGCTTGATTTGAATGCTGTAAACTCATATGTGTTCATAAAGAGAGGTAGAACAGTTTTAAAATCAAATCTTTCTTTTGAGGAGCTGTCAATTCACCGATACAAATTTTGGATCTGCATTTGAATCTTCCCCACCCCCACCCTTTAAAAAGTACTGTACATTGCGCTATTAGTAAGAAAGCAAGAACTCTTGCTTTCTCCTTAATTGTCCACTATTAAATACCCTAGTACATACCCTTGAGACTGTTACTGAAGGGCTCTTAGTATACAGATGCCAAGATAAATTGACTTTGATCCTATTCTCTTTACTTTCCAGGAACAAGTAGGCTCTATTAAAGAGAGATATGACCACAGGCTCATGTTGAAACATCTCCCTCCAGAATTCAGCATCTTTCTGGACCATATATCATCACTAGATTATTTTACAAAACCAGACTACCAGGTAATCATCATAAATTATGTGGGTTAATTTTTCTTCTCTCTTAGCCCTTGCTTGCACTTATTGTAGTATTCAGAGTATGCAAAATCCTTAGAGAAATACAATGATAATGCATCCTGGGAAATGTGGTGTGTTTAACTGATGATGACAATGGTAGTGTGTGTGTGGTGTGTGTGTGTGTGTATTTCCTCCCTCTGGATTTAAAGTTTTAGATTTGCTCATCAAATAACAAATTTCACTGTTTGAGCTATAATTCATCTGGTATAAAGAACTGCTGATAGTTCATCTATATGTAAATTCTATAGATAATTTATTGAATTAACTTAGTTCAGGCAGTCTGAACTAAGTAGTGTATCCATCGAAGGCTTAAGGGCTGCATCTCAGATGTTTGTATGCTATGATAACAACAGTCAGTGAAAATTATTGTCTCCATTTGTCTGTGGTCAGTGAATCATTTCCTTAGAATATCAGTTAATGAAGCCTTATAAAGGTTGACTAGATTTACTACAAATTGCTAGCCATATTTCTGAAAAATCTGTTGCTTTGGGGAGAACTTGTTCAGGGCTTAATGTGAAAGAATTATTGTCACTAAAAACATAAATGAAAAGAAAAACACAAACAAACATAAATGAAGCCACACATCAATTAACAGTAAGTATACAAGGTATTCTTTCACCATACTTATTCAACCTGCATGCTGAGCAAATAATCCAAGAAGCTGGGTTCTATGAAGAAAAACGTGGCATCAGGATTGGAGGAAGACTCGTTAACAACCTGCGATATGCAGATGATACAACCTTGCTTGCTGAAAGTGAAGAGGACTTAAAACATTTACTGATGAAGATCAAAGAGCACAGCCTTTGGTGTGGATTACATCTCAATGTAAAGAAAACAAAAATCCTCACCACTGGACCAATAAACAACATTCTTATAAATGGAGAAAAGATTGAAGTTGTCAAGGACTTCATTCTTCTTGGATCAACTATCAACACTCATGGAAGCAGCAGTCAAGAGATCAAATGACATACTGCATTAGGCAAATCTGCAAGAGGCAGTTGTTCAAACAGAACATGGGAACACTGAATGGTTTAAAACTAGAAAAGGTGTGCACCAAGGTTGTATGTTTTCACCATACTTATTCAATTTGTATGCAGAGTAGAGAAAATAATTCGGTAAGCTGGATTGTATAAACAAACGTGAGGCATCAGGATTGTAGGAAGACTCATTAACAGCCTGCAATATGCAGATGATACAATTGTTGACAGTGAAGAGGACTTAAAATACTTGGTGATGAAGAACAAAGACCACAGCCTTCATATGGGTTACATCTTAATGTAAAGAAAACAAAAATCCTCACCACTGAACCAACAAACAACATCCATATAAAGAGAGAAAAGATTCAAGTTGTTAGAGACTTCATTTTGCTCTCTGATCAACCATCAACACTCCTGGAAGCAGCAGTCAAGAAATCAAAGGATGTATTGTGTTAGGCGAATCTGCTGCACAAGATCTCTTTAAAGTGTTGAAGAGCAAAGATGTCAGTTTGAGGACTAAGGTGCACCTGACCCAAGTCATAGTATTTTCAATAACCTCACATGCATGCACAAGTTGAACAGTGAATAAAGAAGACTGTAAAAGAATGATACATTTGAGTTATGGTATTAGAGGAGAATATTGAAGGTGCCATGGGCTGCCAAAAGAACAAACAGATCTATGTTGGAAGAAGTGCAGCCAGAGTGCTCCTTTGAAACCAGGATGGCCAGACTTTGTCTTTCATACCTTGGAGATGTTGTTAGGAGGGACCAGTCATTGAAGAAGGATACCATGTTTGGTAAATGGAAGGTCAGAGAAAAAAGAGGAAGATCGCCTCTCTCAATGGAGAAATATGGAGCATGCTTTGCTGTAGGGAATGTGTCTGGATCATTTGACATCTTTTTAATATTCTTCACCATCCCTTTTCCAGTTTGAAAAAAAGTGAGTCCTTGCTCTGATGAGGAAAATGTTACATTCCTCAAGAATATAGTGGTAGACCTAGCTTGGATGGTTTAATGATCAGAACTCAACTAGAGTATGGTAAAGAAGTTTGATACAGGAAGCAAGTGTAAATTGCTACAATTTGATGAACTTGACCTTTACTTATGGATGCTATAGCTCAAAATACCAACTGAGAGGGAAAAAGTCGTGACATCAAGGATTAAGCCTATCCTGTCAGTACACAGGGTTGATAGGAACAGGCAACTTAGACATTGTCTACTTAAAATGGGGCTATAAAAGCACAAAGTGTCTGGCTTACAAGTTTTCAAGAGGGATTTTACTTTCAGATTGAGTGGTGGAAGGTAAAATCCCTACTGAATAGTTTTCATCTTGGCTAGATGGGTCTGATGAAAGAAGATGGGAATAGGATTCTTTTGAGTCAAGAGTGAACAATTGTTATCATGACTTACTGTGATCCTCACAACTGTAAAAAGTAGGGGTTGTGTAACAAAAAGTGGGGAGTAGTTGGTCTTACATTCCAGGAATGGAGGACCCTAGAACCACCAAAAGAGAAGAGCATGAGTGGAATATTGGACCCTAACAGATCAGAGATATCAGCTTGAGGACTAATGTGCACCTGACCCAAGCCATGGTATTTTCAATAACCTCATATGGATGCGAAAGCTGGACAGTGAGTAAGGAAGATCGTAGAAGAATTGATGCCTTTGAGTTGTGGTGTTGGAGGAGAATACTAAAAGTGCCATGGACTGCCAAAAGAACCAATAGATCTGTTTTGGAAGAAGTGCAACCAGAGTGCTCCTTGGAGGCCAAGATGGCTAAGCTTCGTCTCTCATACTTTGGACATATTGTCCGGAGGGAATAGTCACCGGAGAAGGATGTCATGCTGGGTAAGGTGGAGGGTCAGAGAAAAAGAGGAAGACCCCTAACGAGATGGATCGGCCAGGTGGCCCCATTGATAGCGTCAAATGTGGCAGCGGTAGTGAGGTTGGCCCAGGATCGGACATTGTTTCATTCTGCTGTGCATGGGGTCGCTATGAGTCGGTTCCGACTCGATGGCACCTGACAACAACAACAACAACAGAGAAACAGAGACACCAGAGATGGAGGCAGAGGTGATGGCATAGAGAGATACAGCAGCTGAGGACTCTAGACTCATGGAAAGAGAAAGGTTGTGTGTTGGCAGGCAGGAGGCTGACTTGCAAAATGTGCCCTTTGGTTGTTTAAATGATTTTATATTCCTGCGTGTTTTTGTGTACATCAAAAAAAAAAGAATATAGGGGTATTAAAAAGAATGTTATTGTTGTTAGGTACTCTCAAGCTAATTTTGACTCTGCAATCCCATGTGACATGTTATAACTGCCCCCATAGAATTTTTTAGACTGTAGTCTTTGTGAGAGTCCTGGTGCAGTACCTTAGGATGCACTGGACCACAAGGTCTGTTTGAACCATGAGGTCTGTGGAGTTACTGGTAACCTTTTGGTTAGCAGCTGAGCACTTAGTCACTGTTGCATCTCTGTTATTGTTGTGTGCCATCGAGTTGATATCAACTGATCACTACCCTGTTTAGAGTTTCTGAGAGCAGCTAGTAGGTTAGAGTTGTTGACCTTGCACTTCCCATTCCAGTGCTTATCCTAGAGTTGCACCCCTGTTAGTGTTGTAATTATTAAATGGCTTCAAGTCAGTTTTGACTCATAACAATACAGTTTCTGAGGAGTGCCTGGTAGGTTTGAACCACCAAACTTGTGACTACTAATCCAGCACTTATCCTATAGCACCACACCAGGACTCTAACTATGCTGCCTTAAAAATAATGAAGACCATAATACATGTAGAAAGTCTGTGATTAATGTTTCAGGTGGCTAATTTATATTGTTCTCAAATCTATTTGAATGAGTAACTGAGTTGGAGTTCTCTGATTTTATTATTTTTCTTAACCAAATGTGATATAATGAATTCAGTTAGAAATAAAAGTGATTCCATGCCTTGTCTTTTTTCTACTATAAAGGATATGATTTAGAGCAATCCTGGACCTAAATTTTAAAATTTGCTAGATTGAAAATCTTTTATTCTTTTTTTTTTAATGTTTTATTGTGAATTATATAATAGTTTACATGGGAGAACTTTAGTTTTACATTCATTCCATCATATATCATATCATTGCCATGGTTCCAATCCCCTCCATGCATCATCAACCATCCAAAGGGTATATCCCAGAAACCTGCCCCTTACACTTCCCCCTCCTACCCCCAGTTTTTGGCCCACAGTCCCTTTCCCTCTCTGGGTCCAAAGTCCCTAGTCGCTTCATCACTCCACGTCATCATCTCTGTCTCTATCTCAGGCATCTCTGTTTCTGGGTAGGGTCCTGCTCTCAGCTCTTCTCCGTTGATGGTCCCAGAGAAATCTTTTATTCCTAAAAGTATCTATGGAGCACTACCCAGTTTGATATCCTGTTCCCACTAGGTACTATGCCTTTAATGCCTCCTGCTGCTGGTGTCACCATAATAGCAACAAACTGTTTCTGATTTGAGATCCAGTGTCATAAGTTGCATTTCCTAGGACATGCAACACTGTGATAAATATAAGAAAATAATTCCATGATAAGAGAATATCTGAAATAAAAAACTGTTTAGGAACATACTTGCTTTAGCCTAGTGGAGGCAGAGTACTCATATATTAAAGCAAATTTTTCCTCATGGACAGCGAGTTCATGTTTTTGTAAGTATGTATAGATTTTTCTTTGAGAAGCTCAATTTTTAGAGGAAGGAAAGGGGTCTAAGATCTGACCTTTAAATAGACATTTCCCAAAAAGATATAAAGATGGTAAACAAGCACAAGAAGAGTCTCAGCATCATTAGTCGTTGTTGTTGTTGTTAAGTGCCGTCAAGTTGGTTCTGACCCATAGCAATCCCGCATAGGGTTTCTGAGGAGCAGCTGGTGAGCTTGAACTGCCAACCTTGAGGTTCAAACCAACTTTGCAGTCTAGTGCATTAACCCACAATGCCACATCA